GAGCAACAGGTGAAGTCCACAGTTTTCAGCATCCGACGCGTTTCTTGGACCCATTTTCGAGGTTTCCAAAAGCAGCGAAGTTTCTTCAACGAGTTGCAGACCACAAAACACCAACTAATGCTTGTGGTAGCCTTTTGGAAGCCCTCTCGCTGTGGTCTACTCGGATACATCGGGTGGCTGATTTGTTTGAGGCTTGATACCCTTTTTGGTTCAATCGCGTCAGAACCCCCCCTCACATGAGGGAGATGAGGGTTTCGCAGGGTTGCTGGATTTTTGAGGCTCGGGTAGCTTTTTCACCTTGGTTGAGAGGGAAGCCAAGACTAGGTCCCCCAGTAGACTACAGAAAAAAAGTTGGTACCAACTGATTCTCACCTCTCTACTGGAGGACCTAGAAGAGTAAAGCCACGCCCAAATGGGTGTGGCTCAAAAATAAACAGGAGGGGTTGCGCAGGTTTTGGTCCATGTTTCCACTTAACAGGGTTCCATTTTGGTACCGGTTTCTTGAGCCACAGTTAAATGATCAACCAAGCAAAAGCTAAAGCGTCACTGGTTGCAACTGGGAGCGGACGAGTACCTGGAGTCTCCTTCTGACCCGAAATAAAAATGGGTCCATGACCCCATTATTTTGGGTAATGACCCCATTTTTTAAGGGTCATGGAGACTCCAGGTAGGGGAATGACCAACCATTTCTTGGTGGCTTCCAGCCATCCGGTTCAATAGCTTCTTAGCCTAGTGTTCAGCGGTAATTTCCGAATTTACCCCACGAAAAGTTGAAAACTTTTAGCAGGGGATCTGAGGGCAGCCCGGATTTTTAAGCGTCGCGAAGACTGTTGGTAGAGACCGGCGGAGATTCGATGCCATCCTTTTGGCAAGATCCACATGTACCATGTGGTTCAGGTATGCATGCCATGGGGTCACTGGTTGCAAGATTGACAAGGGATTCCCTCATGGTTATAAGGGCATTCCTTCATTCCCTGAGCACCAGCAAGTTTTAGTTGAGTGGTTGGGTTTCCATATTTATTCTTTGGTGCATTTTGCTTGGCTCTTAGGACTTTAACTTTTTGCCAACTAGTGGGTTTTCCGAACTAAACCACTAAACGTTAGTCACTTTTAGCAGGGGAGCAGATTTCGCAACCGAGTTATTCCAAAATAAATTTGTTCACGCTTTTCGGGGATCTGCCGACATCCCAGTCTCACGGTTTCTGTGGGTTTTTTTCTGTCGGAAACTGAGAATCTGTTGCTTGCCTACCCCCTACTCCAAATACCCACTTTTTCTAGGGTATTGTTGTAAAAACCTGGGTTTCCATGGTAAATGCCTCCTTTTTTAGCAGAGGGTCGACATCATAATTACCCCAAAAAAGAGGGTATTTGGAGTAGGGGGTACCACTTGGGTGAACAAATGGTAATGGTGCCAGTCTCACAAGCATCATTCGCTTTCACAGTGGTCGCTTTCACGGGAAATGAACCCCCATAACCTCCAAATACCCACTTTTTCTAGGTGGTATTTTTTCGAAAAGCCGATCGGGTTTCCATGTTAAATACCGACTTCTTTTTTAGTAGAGGGTCGACAAGTCATATCAACTAAGAAAAGGCCGGGTACTGGGTGCAAAGGGGAAGATGGTTTGATTCCCCATTTTTTTAAAGCATCGTTCTTTCCCAAAAATCCGGCCATGTTCCCTGTTTCCGGAGGTTTTCTAGAAAGAAGGATCCGTGGAAAGAATGGGGAAGGGCGTGCGCCTCCCAAGGCTCGAGTTTCTTCCTTCAGCTTTGCGGAGTCATGGGAATTTGCCGCAGAAAATGGCCCCCTAAAACGACGTAAAATTCACCGTTTTTATTTGTTCGTCTCCCTTTATTCCAAAAAGGTCCACCAGGTTTAGAAGCTCCGACATTCACATAAGTTAGTAATTTTGGGGTTTGTTTTTTTGGTGTAGATCAAGAACGGACAATACCATGTGTCGTCTCAAAGAAAACAACGACCCGTTTCGGGGGGCTTTTTGGTACATGGGGGTGCGTTTGCTTTTGCCGGAAGCGGCGGCCGTTTTCTGGATGCCCCATTTTCAGGTCGCTTTTCCCCTTAAAACTGGAATTCGTTGGGGTTGAAAAACCAACCAGATCTCCATTGACCATTTTCCATTCGCTTGGAAGACTCGGCTTTCAGATCCGGGTCGCCGGGTCGCCGGGTCACCAATTCCCCTCCCCTTCCAGCGGTCCCGCAAAAGGTGCACGTCGACGGCGCTTGGGTGAGGGGATTCGTTGATTCAAATCATCAAGTAGCAGGTTCCATGGCTGCCTTTCCATTCGAAACGCTTGGGTGAGGGGATTCGTTTCAGATTCAAATCATCAATGAGCAGGTCCCATTTTGCCTTTCGAAACATGGCCGGCTTTTTCAAGACCAAGTGAAAGAAATGCATTTCCATTGTGCCTTTCCATTCGAAAAAAATAAAATAAAAATCGCCGGCTTTTTCAAGACCCAAAATCAGGAAGCATGGAAACCTGGCCGGCTTTTTCACCACCAAAAAGAAATGGACACATGGAAATTCCGCCCATTTCCAAGTTGCAAGGTTCGATCGGCTGCATCCGACGTCGGCTGTCAGGAGGCCAGCGGCGTGGTTCTGCTTCTCGGCCCCCGAACGCTTCGCAGCATCAGAAGTCGCGGCCGATCCGATTGGCCCCTAGGGTGCAGCTCAAAAAAATGAATACCAAAAATGGCACCTCCCCCGTAACCTCCAAATACCCGATTCGGATCGCCTTTTTTTCTAGTGGGTATTTGTGGGGAAACCGGTTTCGGGTTTCCAGGGTAAATACCGATCCCTTTTTTAGGAGAGGGTCGACATGAGACCCTAACAAAAAGGCCGGGTATTGGGTGTAAGGGGCTTGGTAAATGGAGCCAAAGACTACAACCTGCGTAACCCTGGCTCTTTAACTTTGAGCCACACCCATATGCAGTGGATCCATTTACCTGCATGGTACGTAGCCAAAAAGAACCACCCTTTTCAGCAACCCAAAGGTAAAAAGTTGTTTGCCTAGTATGTTGGTAACCAATGCTAGTATGTTGGTAACCAAGGGCTTGCCACCTTTTCATAAGCCAAAAGGACAATTGTTGGTTGCCTGCTATGTTGGTAACTGCGATGCACTGGGATAGGCTCATGTTTCCTGACTTAGCAGGGATGGTACTCATCTTTTGTGGGCAAGCGAAACCAGCAGGACAACGCAGGACAACAACCGTTTTGGGGGTCCGAATCCTAAACCAAAGGAGAGACCCGACCTGCGGATCCATTTACCTGTACAGTATGTAACCGAGGGAAGCCTTTAAGAACCAAAAGCAAAATCGATCGAAGGGTTACCTGCTGGTTCGCGTCCTTTTGATCGGTTAGCTTGGTTAAACATTGATGACTTTTTGACTGGTTTAAATGGGTAAAAATCCATTTGGGCCATCCATTTTTCCAAGGCCGCCTACGGAGGTTGGGATATGCAAGCGCTCACAGATGCAACAAACGGTTGGTTGGGTTGGTTTGCGGTTTGGATTCACTGGGTCAGGTTACCAATTCATTTTTTTTGTCAGCCGAACACGCAGCTCAAAACAGTCCCTGAAAAAACCGTGGGCGACGCTTCAGGTGGGAATTCTGACTCCAGTTCTGTGTGCTTTGAGCCCGGCTGGTTCAACACCCTCATATTTTGGGGTCTTGAGCCCCTAGGGATTTGTCCTCTTCTTTCAGCCTAATTACAGCATGCATGCACACTCAAGATGATTCTGCTTCTATACTGTGAACGAGCCCAACGCGCAGCTTGGGAAACCACAAGCGCCTGGCTCAAAATAGATGGCGCTGGCTTCAGCTTGTTTCTAGTCATTTACTATCGCCATCTATGTTTCCAAAAGGACACTTGTGACCACAGGCAAGCCTTGTTTACTTGCAGAATCAAGGCACACAATTCACCAGCGCAAAACCCACCAAGGTATCCAAGCCACCTAGAGGTCCCCATGTTACTACAGGGCTGCATAAGATACATTTTGCCCACTTGAAACATGGTTTGTTTCACCAAAATAAAGGGACACCACCATTTACAAGGCAATGTTCAGGCGTAGAATGTAAGGATCGCCGTACTAGAGTCTCTATGACCCTTAAACAAGTTGGGTCATTGTCCTTAGGGAACTGTGGGTAAACGAACATGCGGGATGAATCAGGCCCGGCGTCTTCATGACCCTTGTGAACGATTTAATGTGGTTTCCTTGCTTCGGGAATCCCTGGCTCGCACCAGCACGAGAAAATGGGGGGGGAGCTTGAGAAAAGTCTTCCCCTTCAAAACCAAAACTTTGAGCTCGTTATCAACCCGGTTGCCCAGCGGCGCCCTTTTTTCCTGTTTTTGTGGGAAGGGTTTTTGTTTTTACTGGGCATCTGAGTCTCAACCTCCTACTCCAAATACCCACGTTATTTTATATAAGGTATTTCTTGCAAAACCTGGGGTTTCATGGTAAACACCGATCCCTTTTTTTAGTAGAGGCTCGACAAACCATTGCTAAAAAACAGGCATCGTGTATTTGGAGTAGGGGGTGCTTGTTCAGTGACCCTGGAAAAAATTAACCTTTTCTGGGAAGACATAATTTGTACTGGGGCCACCAAAACAAAGAGAGACCAACCATGATTTTGGGTAGTCAAATCAAAACTAAAAAACAGGCATCGTGTATTGGGTGCCTGGCACCCCGTATGGCTGTTTTTTTTTCTTTTTTTTCGGTCAAACTCCCGTATTTGGGCGTATTTGCCCGTATGGCCATGATTTTTCGGTCATTTGCGTAAATCACCCGTATGAAACCCATATTTTTTCGACATGTTGTTGAAAAAATGCCGTAAAACACTGTATGGCATTTTTTTTTTTCGGTCAAAGGCGTATGACCCAAAAAAAAACGGCCATATGGGGTCCCAGGTGGTTCCGGGGAATATTTTTACTTCAAAGGGGGTCGGACCATTCGCAGATTCGGACGCCCGGGCTCGATCGGAGCTGAGGCGCGCCTTTTCTGAGGCATTGCCTTGGGCTCCGGTGCCGGAGGCACGGCGCGCGATCGGCCGTGGGCCGCGATCGGCTTGCGGCTTTGTGCTTGGGGCAGGCGGACTTCTCTGCAGCGTTTTTGTTTGTTGCTTTATTTTTTTGTTTTTATTGTTAATATTTTTGTTTGGGGTCTCTAGAATTCTTAGGTTGGATCCAGTTGCTTTTTGTTTTTGGTTTTCTTTTGGAGGGGTTCCGTTGATTTCAGTAGGGGGCTGCAAAAAAAATAACCTTGAGTTTTCTAGGCATAGAACCCATCAATGTCTAACCAAACCAACCGTAAAGGGACACATGTTGTTAGTTTTTGTCGTTGTTTGTTGCTTGTTTAGTTTCGTTCCGTTCATTTTTAGTGGGCTGTAACAAACAAGAATAAGTTGCTGCCAACCACCTTTTTGGTTGTTTTGTTGGTTTTAGGTTGTTTTATGGTTGTTTTCGAGTTTAGGTTGGATAAACAAGAAGTTGTTTGGCAAGCCATACTGTGGATAGACAAAATCCTGCACCAGTTTGAAACCATTGCAAAGCATTGTTTTTTGGCATTTACGGGGGAACCATCAGAAACCAGGGATTCTGAACGGTGGTGCCATTTCTGGATTTTGCAACCATCCACAGCACGGGTTGTAAAGTGTTGGAAGGCCGTCCGAAAAGGAAAAAAAAAGCAGGGGGGCAGGTAGGTGAGAGCCCCGAAAGTGGGTGTCTTAAAGAGTGTGAAGGAGAGTTGGTTTGCACCTGGGATTCCATAAGCTTGCTGCGAAATCATGGACTGAATGGAGACATTGGTTTGCAGACACCACTTTTTCCATTTGCTGAAATGTTGTTTGTTTCTTCTTTCTTTCTTTTTCTCCCCCTTTTGGTTTTAAAGGGAACCTATCACTACTGGGTCTTTCCAGCGGTCTTAACCAAATGGAAGACTTGTGGGGATGGGTTCTTAATAGATAGGAGCTTTTGAGAAAAAGTGGAGGATTCGTGAGGCTTGAGGACCAGAGAAATTTCGGGCGAAGTGTTCAGGACGTTTGGGTGTCGCTTGGAGCAACCAAAGACTCAGTTGCCCAAAGCGAATCGACCTGATCTAACCTTTTTTTTTTTTCAATTTTGGTCTATCTTTAGTAAAGGCCCCAAAAGGTTCACCTTTTATTTCTGGGTCCTTTGGGCGACTGAGAAGAACCAGCAAGTAAACAGATCAGACCCAGACCCAATCTGTGACCCATAAGGATGGACTGCCTTCGAACCCTCTCTCAGCATTAGGAAACGAGAGTTCACTACAAATGGGTGTGTCCCCTTTTTTGAGGGTACCCTGTGTTTGGTGGGTTTCAAACGGACATCATGAGGAAAACCAGACGATCTTTTTCTGATCAGCCGACAAAGACATGGGCAGATGTCGCTTGGAAAGTAGCAACTAACAAAAAAGGGTAGGTTTCCTTCTAAGATTATAGATCCACAGCATTTCACAGGGAGTAAAAGGGACTCCTTCCCCATAGGACATCAGTGAGAAAGTTGATCGGCCGGCGGTGAATCGATTTTGGCCCTGTCGCATGGCCGTGTCTTTGAGGGGACCGCCAAAGCCACCAAAGGGGTACCACCATACCGTGGATGGACGAAATCCATTTCGCACCACCTAAGAAACCATGGGAGAATGATTCCCTTGTAAATACCAACAAACAACGGTTTCAACCATGGTTTTAATTTGGTGCGAATGGATTTTGTCCCTCCACAGTAGGTGTCCTTCTTGGTGGAAAAATCGATGGCGGGTACCCGAGGCCCTTGGAGTCGGATCGGCAAAGCCAGTGGAGCCCAAGCCCATGTAGATCATCTACCCCGTAACTTCCACCCAATACCCGATGCCTTGTTTTAGTTGGTATCATTTGTCGACCCTCTACAAAAAAATGGGGTATTTACCTTGAAAAACCATGTTTTTCCAAAAATACCCTAGAACAAGTGGGTATTTGGAGTAGGAGGTATGTTCCTATTCAAGTTTTATATCGGGTGGCGCTTACCCTTGGTTATACAGACAAACGGATCAGGGGAAGGTTAGGGAGAAAGCCCAACCAGAAATGGGTGCCTTCGCATTGGTGACTCTTTGGCTTTGGGTTTACATATTTTGGCACCGATTGGTCTGGCTTATGACACACTTGAACTTTCCGATTGACTTTTAGGTTGGCAAGTTGTCCATAACCTAGGTTATAATCCATGCACTGTTAAGCCCCTCTACTTGGCTACCAGCTTGTCCGAACACCCAAGTAGCTGGTGCTTTGGAGGGAGCCAGAGCTGGGGGTATGCAATGTTAGCGGTGAACAAAGCTACCAGGAGTTCTGGTTAGGGACATGGTAGCGTGTTTTAGGCTCCAACCCCTTTTAACCAGTACCCCCCAGCAACTGGCTTGTACTACACAAAGATGTGTGGTTACCACAAATGGAGATTTCCGGTCGAAAGATCGCCCTCCCCAAGTCCAAGCATTTTGCAAGGGGTGGGGATCGCCTAAAGCGACCATCCCAGCCTGGAACCTAGGTCTCTTTAAGCATCAACCCGCCAAAAGGAAACTCGCTTTCACTCAGATGCCCAGTTGATTTCCATGGGAAACAAAGACTCGCCCGATTTTTGCTTGAGTGCAAAAAGGAATCGGAGCCATTACCTAAAACAAGTTGAACATAGGGCACTGGGCAGAGTTCAATTCTCTCAAGGTGCCAACGAACCGAAAGGGGAATAGGGAGAATGCCCCGTATGTGAGGGTATCGTTTGGGATTGACTAAAACTGGAGAACCCCCACAGCTCTGCTGAATTTCGTTCGGGGACAGCTCTCCATGATTGTTTTTGGATTGTTGGCTACGCGTACCAGATGGATGGGTACCTGTGAGGGGGACCCATCTCAACTCTTTGTATGGGTCCGCCAACCCAAGTAGCACCTCAGAACCTCACCAACAACATCGTGGGCCCCTACGTGGGTGACGCCGGCTTCGACCCTGCGGGCTTTGCTGGGAGCCACGGGAGAGCTGTTCGGAGCCTGGTCCAGAAACTCAATGTGGCTAGGTCCCCCACTGCAGCGAGGTGACTGGGGTTAGTCCAGGGAGCTCTAACCAGGTATCCACGACAAAGACCAGCAAACGGGTCCACGTTGATGGTTGACTAGGTGCCCTTTCTCACCCTTTTTTGGATGGGAGAGTTCCCCTAAAATAGACAACAGAAAAAACTTGGTACCCTTATTCTGAGCTTTCTACTGGAGGACCTAGGCAAAGAAAAAACGGAACTAAGTAGAACCTTTGGATGAAGAGAAGAGGTTTGAAAGAAACTCAATGTGATGCTATGTCTACACAACCAGGTGTTTTTCCACTCTATGCCAAGAAATGCTTTTTGCCCCATTGCGAACTCACGTCTCACCTGCTCAGTCGGCAACTGGTGGGGTCGGTGGGTTGGTCCATTGGTTGGTTGGTGGGTTGGATGATTGGTGGCTAATTTAATCTGTTTCTGGCCAGCTTGCCTCGGCAGGTCAGTACTTCCGGTGGAACATTCAAGGGCAGTTTGCGCGGGATGTTTGAGCGACTGACGCCACGTCTCGGATGACATGTTGAAGAAAAAGGCTGGACATGTGTGTTGTTGTTACAGTGTTACAGCAGCTAGGAAGTTACGCGAAGTACGTCAAGCATCGCCTTCGGGTCCCTGAGCAGACTATTGGTTTCACTTTTCGGTCGCCCCAGCGGGGTTGGGCAAATGTTCCTTCGCCTCCACATTTGAGGGGACCTATGGAGCATGTTTTGAACATTGGATGTGTGTGTGTGTGTCAAAATTTCTCGGGACCGCAAAGGGTGGTGCTCGTGTAGGTTTGTGTCTCCTACACCAGGTGAAAAGAATCAGTGCCATGGGCCCATTTACTTGGATGTCGTTTTTTTTTGTTTGTGGTGTTTTGCCATCTTCTTTTTCCCATGACAGGACCGTTTGATGTTCCTAGGCCGAAGGAAGCTTATGATCAGTGCCCTGAAAAAAAAGAGGGCGCACGCTTATGTGATAATCACCCGGAGTCTCCTTCTGCCTCGAAATAAAAATGGGTCCATGACCAACCATTATTTTGGGTAGTCTGACCAACCATTTGTTAAGGCTCCTTAGGAGACTCCAGGCACGTGAAAGCAGCGGGCTAACGTCGACCTGCCCGGACCGGGGACTGCGGCAAAGCGACACGAGGCGAAGAACAAGCGCTTGTTGCCCTGGTGCCCCGATGGGAGCGTTGATAAAACAGGGGTCCCTATATTTCCCTTTTTGGCTGTTTTAAACATCACCTTTTTTTTTTTTTAGGCATCTCGGCTCAAAAGCCATTTGCCTCAGGGAGTCGCGCCCCAGGGTCCCGCCATTCCTCCGATGGAAGGTCGGACGTCCACAAAACCCGCCTTCCCCTGGGCGGGGCGCTGCGTCTTCATGATCAACTTTCCGGCCAGGAGAGCGTCCTTTTCGGTGTGGTGTGCAGTTTTGTCCGAAATGAGAGCTCTGTGGATTACCTGGACTTGCGTTGTGGCTTCTTCCTCGCCTACGTGGCTGCGGTCGAGCACTTCCTTCTATGTGGCCGTGTGGTTCATTTGGTGCTCTTCGGCTACCTCTGTGCTGGACGTGAACATTTGTGAGGGCTACCGAAACCCCTTGCACTTGACCTCCTGATGTTCTCTCTCACAGACTCTGCCGGATGGTGCCCCGCATTTGAACTGCGCCTCCAGCTTCTGGAGCGTGGTGCAGGCTGAGCTGGTGAGCCGGTTGCGATGAGCTTGTGGCTACGTGATGCTTTGTCGGTTCTGATATCCGCATGCTATAAAGGGCGGGCCTGACCCGAATTTAGCTTGTCCCTGACAAACACTTTTCGTGTGACGGCCCGCCCTTGTCTCGCTTTATTTGTTTGCGCCTTTTGCTCCGGCAAAGGCCGCTGCGGGGGTTTCCTCTGCGGTGCTTCGGCTTGGTGCGATGATCCGCCCTGGCCGCGGCCCTGTTCTTTGGTTGCCTTCCTTTGTCACTCCTCCTTGGAGTGCGTCTTGCCCTCGGCCATAAGTGCCGGGTTTTGTTTTGGCCTCGGCGCCGGCAGGCCCGGAGGTCGGCGCTCGCTCCGACGCGTGTGCCCGTGAGATAAACATCACCTTTTTGGCCCATGAAAGGTGAGTATCCCTTGGTGGGGGGTGATGTTTTAAGGGGAAATATAGGGAGCCCTGTAAAACTATATAATCCCAGCCATGGTCGTTTTTGCGGGAGGCTCGTTTTTTCTCTTCTTATTTTTTCTGAGGCTCGGTACCTTTTTCATTTGTTTTCATGGAATCCAAAAGGACGATTGCCAGTTTGTTGCAGGGTGCACCAGGCTCCAAAACACAGCCTAAGGGAAGCTGAAGCCCATGTTCCAGCTGCAGCTTCCATTTTCATGGGGGCCTTCTCTTCTAAAGTCAGGCACCCCTAAAATGGCTCGTTTCTAAAGAGAACGATGGGTGAAGAGAATGGTGAATCAACCTTTTGAATGTTTACTACTGTGTACTGAATGGGAATGACATTGGGCACACCCGCCAAATTTATGCTGCTAGGAAGCCACGGCCAATGCTGGTTGGGGGCACCGGCTGAAGATTGTCCGCGGCGCACGTTCCGTTTCTGATGTATCTGATTTGATGTTAATCGTCACTGTTGTTGGCATGTGTTTTGCCTGCGGCTTGATAACCGTTCCTGTTTCTGTGCGTTGTTTAGAGAGAGGTGTTTGTCGGGGGCGGGGGCGGGGTGGTCTTCGGGTAGTTCCGGAATCGCCGAAGCTTTTGCGCAACAGCTGCGCTTGGCGCTAACGCCGGCGGACCCGTTCGCTCCATGCAAGCGGATCCGCTCAGAGCTTCTCGTACTAGTAGTGTGCAATCCTGCAGGTGGGCAGGCAGTTGTTATTTGGCACGCGTGTGGGGCATCAGTTCAGGCTGCCGCCATGGAGCGTGAGTCTTTCTACCCTTGCAGCTGTTTAGCCCGGCGAGCGCTGCGCCTCTACTTGTTTGGTGTATGATTTTGAAGTTTGGCGACTGGGACATATTGTGCTCAGTTGCACTCTAGATTATGTCCTGAGACCGGCACGCAGACGGTGGGCACGGCGGCTTCTTCTACGGTCATGGAGGCCACAACAGCTTCTTCTATGGTTACGGACGGCAGAGTGGCTTCCATGGTCACGGCAGTAAAGCGTCAAGAGTACCAGGTTTGTTGCAAGCTCGTGTTCAAAAAACAACGCTCGCGCAGTAATCAATCAGTAGGGATGTGTTTGGCTTTGTTTTCTTGATAATCTTCAGTGAGTGAGTGAGTGAGTGAGGGAGCGAGCGAGTGAGTAAGTGAGTGAGTGAGTGGGTGGGTGGGTGAGTGAGTGAGCGAGTGAGTGGGAGAGGGAGTGAGTGGAGTGATTGAGCGAGTGAGGGAGCGAGTGAGTGAGTGAGTGAGTGGGTGGGTGGGTGGGTGAGTGAGTGAGCGAGTGAGTGGGAGAGGGAGTGAGTGGAGTGATTGATTGAGTGAGGGAGTGAGTGAGTGGAGTGATTGAGTGAGTGAGGGAGTGAGTGGAGTGATTGAGTGAGGGAGTGAGTGAGTGAGTGAGTATGGAGAGACCAAAGTTTGAAGAGAAATTGCGTTGCTGTAAATTTCCTGGGGTGTCTTGAGCCTTCCGTGCAGTTCAGAGAATGATTCGCGTTCAATCAGCTTTGGTGCCAGTTTGACGGGTTTGTCTAACCCAAACAGGGTCAAAGCTAGTCACAGCGCAGGGACTCTTTCACTGATGATGGAAAATCACGCCAGCCACTAGCCTTTTGCCGCGCGACGACAAAGCTGACCAACGTTCGATTTGCCCCAAGAGGGACCACACGTTGTCCAGACATATATAGGGCTTCATCAATATTCCTGGCCCCCATTTGACCACGATTAACTTTTCCCGTTTGGTGGGAAATATCGTGTGTTTAGGGGTTTTCCCCAATGGTCATCCCATGACCTTTTGGGCCTCCCTTGCAAACTGGATGGGTTCCATGACCCGTGTCGACCACTCAGAGGGGGGTGCTTGCCAGTTGACCTGAGGCGCGTAGTTGTCTTTTACATTGGTTGAGGTAGCACCACGTGATTGCGGCTTACCTGTTGTTCTTGTGAGGCAGAAGCAGTTTTGATGTGGTGAGGGATGGAATATGCTTCGCTGTCGCGGTTGCCATAATTTGGTGGCTTAGACAGGTTACTTCCGCACATGCTCAAGATCTGGGTGTGTCGTTTTTATGAGACCCCCACAACATGGTATTTTTCTGGTCTCCCTTGACCAACAGGTTGTGGGTTTAAAAAAAATGGTACCATTTTGGGGTAGGTGCACCACCCACTCTAGTCTATCTTAGTGGTTGGATTGGGATGCTCACTGGGTACGATTTGTCTTTTGACCCATGGCCGTATATGTTTTGAAATCAAGGCTCGCCACCTTTCTTGAATCGCTGTTGTGACCTGGGTATGGGACAAACAAAAACAGTGCCCCTCCCATGTGGCCACTCCGGTGCTTCAGGTACCGCGAGGCGGAGTTGGCCCACGGACGCGTTTGCATGTTGGCGGCGCCCGGGCATGTTGGCGCCTGGGGGGTGCGTCCGTTGTCGTTGGGCGGGGGTATGGTTGGATTTTTGGGGGTTAGATTTTGTTTGGGGTGTTGGGTTGTGTTGCTTGCTTGAACAAATATTGATTGGGTTGGTTCGGGTGGGTTGTTGGTTTGGTTTGTCAGTTTGGTCCAAGGTTTGGCTGAGTTGTGAATTTGGTCAGGCTGGGTTGGTTTGGTCATTTGGTTTGAGCCTTGCGTGGACCCAGAGTCGGTGTCTATTTTGCTTGTTTGGGTTGGGTCAGGTCCAGCCGGGTCTATCCTCCTTTAATGAGAGGGGCATGTTCATGTTGTTTTGGATCCCCCGTCCCACCCCACCCACCCATGCACCCCACGCCACCCACGCCACCCACCCCCACAGCTACTACACAAACAAAGGAAGTGTTTCTGGAGCTTCCTGTGGAGTTTCATTTGAGTATCCAGTTAGTTTAGTTTTGCTGGGTTTGAGGTTCCATTTGATTCAGTATCGCTGGAGCTCAAAATTGGGTGCGGCCCAGGTGGGATACCTCATGTGACCTTCTCAAAACATAACTTTGTGATGGGAGGTGAAAACCATATTGTTTGAATGTCAGGGAGTTCTGGCTGATGATGCTTTAATGACCTGTTTTTGCGCCTGAAGTTGCCGCTTACCTCGTTTTGTTGTGTCTGGCAAAGGCACCCTCTTGGATTCAACCTACTGAATAAATAGCTTATCACCATGACAGGTGAATCTCAGAAGAATGGTTACAAGTTATAACTCACTAAGATGCATTCAAGTACCTCCCCACAATTGTGGAAGCTGACAAATGGCATATGAGTTACCAAGTCGATAGAAATCGCTGAGTAGGGTACCTTCACCATGGTTATATTGGGGTGTTCTTTTGGGGAACCCCTAAAATTGGTGGGGTTTCTTTTTGGTTTCCCCTTCAACACCAAAACCCAACGAGCCACTGTGGGGCTATGCTGTTTCACCCGACGGGAAGCCTTACAGGGAACCTCACCCCCCCACCTCTCGCCCCCAAACAGGAAGAAGAAAAAAAACAAGAATGCGAAATGGACCCTCATATTTTTTTATGGGTCATGGACCCATAACTGAGTAAATACCTTGAGCCATGGCTTCATTCCATGGCTTGACCCTCCCTCATTTCGCAATGGAGCCAGAACTTAGAAATGGTACGTACCTTCTCATTTCTAGGGGTACCTTCCCCATTCTAAACCCAGGGATCCGAATCTGTCTAGAAAACCTCCGGACACCCAGGGAAAACGGATCCGGTTCTTGAACCGAAAGGTGGTTGAAAAGAATGGAATCGGAATCAACCCCTAGAACACTGCAAAATGGACCCTCATTTTTTTCCCAACTTCGAAATGGGGTTGCCGCCTTTATAGCTTGAGGGTCTCATCTTGAAAAAGAACTACCCAGGTTACCCTCAAAAACGCACGAACTCACCCACCCAGATTCGGTTTTTTTCCACTCCAAGTTGGACCGTCCGGTGGCCTTTCAGACCTCAGGTGCTGGGCTACACCGTTCAGACCAGCGGCGCCAAGCCGGAAGCCCCCAGCCGCGACGGGGCGCTTCGACTTGGGCCCCCGGGTCTCTCACATTGGGTCCAGCTAGGTGCCCAAGCTCTCACCAGGAAAGATGGTTCCCCTTTTCAGCATGGCTATATCATTTCTATACTAAGTTGACCGCCCATGGGGCCTAGAGACATTGCCGAGCTAGGTGCCCAAGCTCTCAGCCTTTTTTGGTGACCCTTTTCTGGGGAAAGTCCAGGGAGCTCTAACCAGGTATCAACGGGTCCACGGTGATGGTTGACTAGGTCCCCCAGCGATTGGTGCCCGACCTCTCACCAACTTTTTTGGTGAGGGTCCCCTACTAAAATAGGCTACAGCAAAAGGTTGGCACCCTTATTCCAACCTCTCTACTGGAGGACCTATCTCAGAAAAGCACCGGCCAATCCAATTATACCCGTTCTTTCTCAGTTTTTCTAAATGGGATTCGGACCCCATTTGGCTGGAGATTGAAATTGGTCCCAAGTTATGCCTGGACCCTTAAAAAACAACAACTTTTTGCTTATTACTTTTGCTTATTTCGACAAATGAGCGGAATTTCCAAGATCTAGGCGGAAACTGCCAATTGCATGTTTCGCAGCGTTTTCTGCTGATTTGGCCTGATCTTATATATATATATATATACACATAACAACCAGCGTTTCTCGAAGGGCGTTTACGCGGGCACCCTCCAAAATAGTAATCGGACACGTAGGTTTCCATGACATGGTGCAGGGATGCGCCACAACCCCAAAATGGTGAGGTTCAGCTAGGAAATTGCCCCGAATTGTTGCAATCGATGAATCTGTGCCAAAATCCCGCAAATTTTGCCACCCAAACTACGCGGAAATCGG